GACAACCCACTCACATACTCTCAACAATGAAATCAATTGTAAAAGAATGAATATATGTATTCACATCAACAAATGTATGGTACGAACACTAACCGAGAGCCTAACCTCCCTCCACAGGCCCAAGTCCTGTCTTTACACAGAATACAAAAATCAATCATACCCCCTGTACAGAACACACACCCTATTTATAAAGTTCTCTTCCCCTTCCCACTAATTAACTAACTGTCAAACGCCTCTTCCCTCCTAACTGCCCTCTTATTTCCTCTTCCTTCTATCCTCTTACCTTATATCCTATCATTACACCCTGTTGCAAAACAACCCTGTCCTCAAGGTTGGTACAGTAATGCTTGTTCCCATGGCTCATCTTCATCATAGGAAGCGACCCCATGGGCTATTGCCCTACAATTAAGGTCTGGAGGCTTGGGTGGTGGCAATTCCTCCTCCAATGACTTTCATTCTTCCTGGATTCTATTAGCTTCCCACATTCTGGTCACCTCTTTTCCAGAATCGTAAGCCTTAAGAAAACGGTCTTCGGTGTCTTTCAATGCTTCACGCCGCTCTCTCCCTTTTGTCGGTGTATAAAAAACTGCAAGCCCCCTTTTCTGTTCGCTGGCCCACCTCCTCACAATCCATTGTTCTCTCCAGGGTATTGATTCTTCCATCTGCCCTTCCTTCCAAAGCCTTCATTCTTCCTTCCCTCACGCTTCTCTCCCCACAATCCAACACTCCTTTCCTAAGGATATTCGGTAGTCCTCTCTTGTTTGGATCCGGCCGTACTCACCCGTTCGGTTCCGGCAGTTTTCTCATGTTCGGTTTCGGCCGTCCTCTCTCGTTCGGCTCGGGAAGTCCTCTCTTGTTAGGTTCTGGCCGTCCTCTCAAGTTCGGATCCAACAATCCTCTACCGTTCGGTTTCGGCAGTCCTCTCATGTTCGCATCTGACAGTCTTTGCCTGTTTGGTTCTGGAAGTTCTCTCACGTTCGGTTCCGGCTGTCCTCTCACGCCCGGTTCGGTCAATCCTCTACCGTTAGGTTCCGGTTGTCCTCTCATGTTCGGATCCGGCAGTCCTCTACCGTTCGGTTCCGGCAGTCTTCTAACATTCGGTTCCGGTTGTTCTCTCCCGTTAGGTTTCGGCCGTCCTCTCACATTCGGATCTAGCAGTCCTCTATCGTTCGGATCCGGTAGTCCTCTCTTGTTCAGATCCGACATTCCTCTCCCATTCGGGGCTTGGTCGTATTCTTCTGCAGTCCTCGAATGCTTACTGGCCGCGACCCTTTCAAAGATGGTACCCCTGTTCCGTTTTCCAAATTGCACCACCACTGCCCCCTTCAAACCTTCCCAAGAACGATTCTTGGCTTTCTCCTTCCAGGCTTTGAACCAGTAGCCAACGCTCCTCATCATACTGATGTCGGCTAGGCGCACCTTTTCCTCCTCTGTCACACCTTGCCACTCGAAGAACTTCTCTGCCTTAGAAATCCACCCCAACGGATCAAACCCTTCGAAAGTGGGTAGTTGTACCCTTTTTACCTAATTAGGTTGGCCGTCTCCTTGGTCTTCATCCCTTTCCTCCTCCGAGCTCTCCCTTCCCCTTCTCTGATTCTCGTTAACAAAATGTTGATCTTCATCTCCAGACCTTGGACTGCCTTTCAATCCTTTTTCCGGGTTCTACACCCTTCCTCCAAGAACTCGCAAGAGTTCTTTGGTTTCTTGTCGTATTTCTTACATATTTCTTCTCCATTCTGCCATGCTCATTTTGAGCTTTGTCCTGTCTATTTTCTATTCGCTGGCCCTTCTCTTTAAGGAATTGTCTCTTCCTTCCATGCTTCAACCCTTTCTTAATCACTTCTTGATCCCTTCTTGACATCTATCCAGAAGGTCGGACCAATTTGTCAGGTTCCTGGGTTTGAAACCTAACTTAGACAACCCAATGAATATACGTATTCACATCAATAAATGTACTGAAATCAATTGTAAAAGAATGAATATACGTATTCACATCAACAAATGTATGGTATGATCAGTAACCGAGATCCTAACTCCCTCAACAGGCCCAAGTCTTGTCTTTGCACAAAGAATACAAAAATCAATCATACCCCTGTACAAAACACACACTCTTTTTATAAATTTTCTCTTCCCCTTCCCACTAACTAACTGTCAATCGCTTCTTCCCTCCTAATTGTCCTCTTATTTCCTCTTCTTTCTATCCTCTTACCTTATATCCTATCATTAGATATATTAGATTATTTGATATCTTAGATATTTTATTTCTATCTTTTATCTTTAACTATTTTGTTATTATTCTTTATTTTGAATTTTAAACTTAGTCCATATTTAATTTATTATAGATAGAGTACCCATGTATATTTTTTACACGAGAGATAAATCTCAAACCTATTTTTCACTATGTTGAACACTTGTCAATGACAGAGGTGATTTATTACAACGTTATGATTTAAAACTTATTGTTAAACTTGACTTACGTTTGGGAATTGTGGATTACATTTCTATATGCGTGATCCAGATATGTGGAGACTCTAAAGGGAAGAAAACGATTTTTGTCAAAAATAAAATTTGGCAGCAGAATAGAAAAATCAAAAGCTCAAAGGCAAGCTGTAAACTCCATTTGTCAGGTGAGTGTAATTTCTTTTTCTTCCTGGTGAGGACGATTGCTTCAGAACAACTCACAGTATTCTTGCTTGCGTCATTTCCTTTTCCTCCACCCGTCCCAGGGATCTGCGGCTGACATAGTTAAGATTGCAATGATAAGAATTTACTCTGAAATTGCCATTGGATTTGATAGTCTGGATTCCAGTTCTTCTGTTACAACCAAGTTTCAGATGCTTAAAGATCGTTGTCGGATTCTGTTACAGGTAAAATTTATATAATTCGTCATCTCTTTTGTTTGTTTATGTGTTTCACTTCTTTTATTGATTGTTAATAGGTACACGATGAATTAGTGTTGGAAGTTGATCCTTCTGTGATAAAAGAAGCAGCCCTATTATTGCAGACAAGCATGGAGAATGCAGTTTCACTTCTTGGTTTGTTCATAAACTAAATTCTTTTGAATTGAAGCACTGGGTATATGATGACATTTACTGTTTACATTTATGCTTCTGCAGTTCCTTTGCGTGTTAAACTTAAGGTTGGAAGAACATGGGGATCTTTGGAGCCATTTACGTCTGATAAAATTCAAGGATGACACACTTGTCGAAGATTTGGTATTTCGAGGAATCCGATTGCCCTAGGAAACAATTTTGACGACGAGGCCTTCGGTGTAATCTGGAGTCCTCTGAGTAAAAGGCAAAACGGTAATGTTTCGTGGAGACTAATATCCATCCACACTCGAAGAGAATTAACTAGAAGGTAGTAAACAGGTAATATGGTGAGAAGAAAAGATAGGGTGAAACGTGAGTGTAATATTTTGAGGTGTCTGTGCTTCCATGACTACAAGTAATGACAAGGCTGTCATTCTCCAAATAATTTTTTTAAGGATAGGAACACAAATTTTAGGGATTTTCTATTTATTTAAGTATCTAGAGCTGGGGCTGAGTTTGAGACGTAATCATCTCTTCCCCATGCAAATGTAAAGCTAAACTATTTTACAAATCTTAATTCTTTTTTTAATTTTAAATAAAAGAATACACAAGGTGGACATTCCAATACACATTATCTCTAAAATTTGTGTAAACATATTGACGTGCAATTCACAACACCTGCACCGAAATGCATAAGACAGATTTTTACATGAATGAAAAAAGCTTCATTTATATCACAAATGTAGTACATCACTATTACATATTGCATTCGTGAATCTGTAAATGCAAAGTTGCGACAACTTGGGCTAACAATACTAATAATACCGCGATTATTCAGTTTTATAGTTCATTTTATGCAATAAAGACTGCTTAATTATTCAACATCATAAATAGGACCTTTTTTACTTAGGAATAAAGACAACATGATCCTGAGGGAGGAAGTGACAGACAGGCACAGTTCCTGGTTGAACTTTGAGCAGTTGGAAGGCCAAATGCTTGGGATTCCAATTTGACGTGTCAGTGTGACACACTGCAACTGCTTTGGCCCTGCTTCCGTCAGCACCCTCCAATGGGACAGAGTAGGCATTAGTGCTATCTGATTTGTGACAATAAAACACTGCATATGGGTATTTCTCCTTGTGGCACACAACACACTTCTCAGCCAACTTCTTAACTCCTGGTGCTATTTTGTATTGTTGCCATTCGCTCTCTTTTCCCACTCTTGTGGAGATAGCATCAATATTATTCCCAAGCTTGGAAGTGGCGAAATCAACCATGGACTCAAGGGAAGTCACGCAACGCTTTTCCTCTCCTCTGGTGATAGGCCCTTCACACTCACTGATGGTGTTTTTCACCACTTGAGCCTCATCTGATCCTGCCTTGATGGAGAACCTGTGCAATATGTCATTGACCTTGATTGAAGAAAAGGGTATGGAATCAGCCACAGGACGAGGCAAGAATGTGGCCTCTAAATTAGATGTTTGAGAGAAGTGCAAGTCCAATTTGGTTCCATGATGCAAGTTCTTTTCCAAGAAGAAGAGTACCACATTGGGGTCATCATGTAATTGGGTTTCGCTGGCTGCATAATTGTAATCAAATGGATAGTGTGGTCCCACTTCAACATGCACCGGCTTTCCCTTTGGTTCAGTGTGTACAATCACTCCACCGTTTCCTCCACCAACATTAACATCAGTGCCACCTCCTTGTCCTTGGTTTCCCTTTTCTACACCAACATTTACACCACCATTCCCTACATCTACCGCGGTCTCTTTCTCTTCCTTCCAATCTGCATACTTTGCAAGTTTAACTTAAGAAAACTGTAATAATCTGAATGAGAAAAAGACAACTCACCTAATTAACTCTCATCAAAGAATAACATTTTTCTACGTTTTAAATTAATG